ATTCAGCGGGTGATAGATGCGCTGTTGATGCGACAAGTGAGTGCTAAAGTCTCATTATGATTTTCCGTGAAATAACCCAGCTAAGACGGTGGCTTGAGCAGCAGAGAACCTCAGCATTGCAGAAAGATCACTTGCATCTACCAGCAGTCACGGGCTCAGCATTGCGGCAGGTAATAATCGCAGTATGAAGCAGGCTAAGCTAAACGACCTCAGAAAAAATATAAGCAGTCAAGGACGAAACCCGAAATCAATCTTTTAAAATTTCTCATCCTGTGTTGCATGAAATTTTGCAAAAAACTTAATCCGTTCAGTTTAAACTCGTCCATTTCACTTTTAACGGCCAATTTATTTATCCACGATGGATAGATCAGACTGCGATCAGATACATTTTCAGTGAACAAGAAGCAACCGGCTGTGCGTTGTAGTGTGACTGTAAATCTCTGTACTTCCTTGATATCATCGTTAATAATTAAAGCCTTGGACAGTGGTGAGGGATGTTTTCTCGCTTACTCAGTTGGGGCGACTTCAGGAGAAGCCTTGCCATCTAGTTTGATGGGCCATCCATCCCAGAAGGATGTGGATAGCGCACAATGTTATTCAGGTACTCCAGGTTTAACTACCACTATGAAGGGTGACTGTAAGCACTACTGGAAATGTTCACAATGTCTTATTACTATCCCTAGTCCGAGTTATGAAGAGAGCTTCCATTATAAGAACAAGGCCTGATAGGCCATAGGAAAGACAGACAAATGGCCCAGTAGTCACTAAAACAAATGTCCTTCACCTCTACGGTCATACATAGTATTCCGGGGCTGGAAACTATCACTGCCTGCGAGAAACATATGCATAATATACAACTATAGAGATGGCTGTAATTTCAGGCGGCTTTTAGCGCTTTTAGATCAATCGCGGTTTGTAGACTACCTCGTCTCACCCACCTCGCCATCACTACTAGCTGTCAAATTCAACTCCCAGGAGCAATTACATAGAGTGCTCCAACGTTGGTGTAATATGAAAAGTAAATTTGCGAGACATTTGTTGGCTCGAAAGCAGACCACTAACCTTAAGGAAGCAACAGACTGAGGTCGCGATACGTGTCCATGCCTCTGTGACACTGTAGCCACACAACACTGAGAATAACAACCAGTTTCACCGGGAGTCTTAAGTGAATCTAAGGAAAAAATTAAGGCGGGACAGATATATCGAAATCGACCAGTTAATGCCAATATTAACTCCTGAACCTTCAGCATACATAGAGTCAAACACCCCACAACATCGTTAGGTAGTTAGACCCACTGTCAGCTACGTATACAGCAATGTCAGAAGACTGGGAAGAACAGTAGGTGAGGTCAGAAACCTAAAGTCTCACCCGCGCCTCGAAATATTAACCTTGACTGCAACCTGGCTAAACCATACCGCTGCTGACAATAACGTCAGTATAAGCGATATGACTCTGGTCTGGTGAGACAGGAATCACAAGGAAGATGGCGAAGTTGCCGTATGCACTGTGAAGCAGCTTAGATAAATACGAACAACGGACTCAGAATGGTGCAATTCTATCGTTTGCCACACCAAGCACTTGTTGATTGGCACCTATCAAACTCCCTCCAGGGGGCACGATTCAAGCAGCTAATGCGCAGCATCGTCACGAGAACCTGGGCTGTGACCAGATCAATACGGCTGGAGACTCCAATCCTCCATCCGTTAACCCAGGGTCGGTATGTGCTCAAGGAAACTCTAATCGTAATCTGCTACATACAATTAGAAGGGCAGTATTGACTGAGAATGTTGAGTACAATACTTGACCGGCCCCCAGTGGAAAGTCATCAAAACTGGACTATACCCAAGGAGGCGACCAGCCACTAGTCGAAAACGTTCAAATCATGGCCCCTTTATGAAGCAGTGACCATGAGATCACAGTGTTTGATCTCATCCTTCGTGAACGCTTACAGAGGAATGCTACGCGACACTGTATGTGCTATAGCAAAGCCGACTCTTCCAAAAATGTGAGGAGTTTTGTCTTATGCAGAATAGTTTTATAGACTTGGCTGAGTTATTCTAAGAGGAGCATTGAGAAACAGTTAAGGGGATTATTCATACAGAGATCTTATATACCACCTTCCAAGTCAGGCTACAACCTGATTAATGACCCTCACAGTTGAAAAGAGACAAAGCGTATTCTGCAAGAAAAGTGGAAGGCTTGTTCTGCATGGCAATTCCCTAAAAGTCAGCCTGACCAGAAGGCAAATCTGCAGCTCAGAAACCGATGCTACTCAAGTAACCGGAGTGACGGGAGGTCATTTCAGGCAAATCTTTCAGTTAATTCCTGTTGAACCTCGAAAGCTAATACCGACCCATGTAGGGAAAGGAACCTACCAACCAGGGGAATACGCCCTACGAGGTAAATACCTCACCAGTTCAGAGATCGCTGGAACATTCACTTTGATTTTTGACGGAATGCCAGATATGACTGTAATTACTATCTGTATAATCTGTAAGGGTGGCACTGCTAATCTACTTAGTGAGAACCTAATGGGTTTGCTCGAAATAACCAAAAAATTGTACTAGGGAAGCTGAGAACATTCAGCTCTCTTAGGTCCTACAGAAGACAAGAGAATGTTAACACAACACTAGTCGAGAAAATCAAGAGATACTGGTGGATTTTATGTACACCATTGTTATTGGAGAGGCAGGGTCTTCTGATTGATTGCTTTCTTGCTGAAGGTCATTCCGTACCGCTAGTCACCGTTTCTAAGAAAGTTGAGCCATATATCTGCTAATCGTATTTGCACACGTTAAGCCTGCAGTGATTGGTTGGTGAGTTCCTTAAGCTTAAGCTTTGTTACTGTTTTTTATCATGACCCGTTGTCGGGACGTAGCATTGACGTAAATTGCTGTCTACAATTTTTGGCTTGCAGCCAACTCCCACTGCAAGCTATTCCGACACTCCATGACTTCAGGGAATCCGTCAAAGGAGTGTACGAAATCTATCCTTAACTCTTTTTTCAAGGGTAGGCATCATCATAGCGCAGCGAGTTACTGATGATTTGCGCTACCCCCAGTGTTATCTAAGGTACTACGGAGCCTTATTGATGATCATAACAGGCAGTACCCCTAGGGGTCTACTACATGAAGTACAATATTGTTCTTTGTGAAAAATTTGTTAGCGGCTTGGAACGACTGCACATATTGCTGGGATATGTTCCACTCCATGCACTAATTTCCGAATTCTCGAGTACGTTTGACGCAGCTGAGCATGACGTTTTCCTCCAGAAAAGTGAGGCTTGTATTGGTAGCTCACTTCTCCCACAACGCGAGGACTACATAGACGAAGGGGAGTTCTGCTCCAGGCTCAGCCATTTCGAACTACCTGACACATTTAGACACTAGAGTATCCCAGGGTTCAGTCGTAGGGCCTTTAGTGCTTTTGGGTTTCATCAATGACCGGCTGTGTCATATAAACTGCCCGGTCCTACTAAAGATAACAAATAGAAATTTGAAGGGCAACAAAGTAAACGGAGGGCTCAAACAAGTTGCAAGCATACTCAAAAATCCTGAAAGATTAGTCAGTGGTCAGCAGTATGGCTTTAATCCCGAATAAGTACAAAGTGGTTCAACCGCATACCTGAAGACTGTAGAGTTCAAGTTCTTTCCCGTGTGACGTCAGAGTAAGACCCAGGTATCGTTCCAACAGAATTACACCGGTGATGTAGTGAGGGTATGTGAGGTTATTAACTTACTCATAGACAGGTGCATTCAACCATGAGCTATTTTAAGGTTATTCGAAACATACGCAAGACCATACCTTTAGTTGCTCAATATCATTGCCCCGTTGACACTAAGAAGCGACACCAACCTATCGGAAAGAATCCAGACGCATACGACAAAAGGGCTGGTGGTTCTCCGGAATAAACCGTGTGATGAAAGGCTGCAGAAATTACATCTTCCTGAACTCAGCGGCACAGGTTAAGGGTTGACCTGATTATTGCCCACAAAACTACAAATGACTGAAAATCACCCAAACGTAGGTATTCTACCGATTGGTCATCATGGGCTTCCTTGTGGCAGTCCATAAGGATAGAGCGCCGGAGAGCAAAGATCCCAGTGCTCTCTCATTTCTTTTTGTTAAGAGTTTGCTGCACGTAGAAATCTTTACCGTTATCTGTCGTTAACAGACTGTCCGTAAGAACCTTCAAGCAGAGGCTGGACGATCACGTGGCGACACAACGATTGCATCCTTTACCAATATCCGCTTTGTCTTTTTGTGCGTTTTTCTAAGCTTACACAATATACACTAGTTATATCCATTAATAATATCTCCATGCTTGACTACACCGGATGATTTACTGGTAAAAGGATGAAGTTTATTCACAGTAACAACACGGTCCTAGCACACTAGAAACCAATTGCCGAACCACTCCCATAGGAGACAACTCAGTCTACGACAGTAAATTTTAGAAAAAGCTACACAGCCGTCTACCGAAAAGCACAAGTAAGTCTTTTCTTTGTAACAAAGAACCGAGTACAAAGATGTCAGTTATGTCTGCACTGTTTCGTAAAAGCAAGAGATCATGTGACACGTCCCTCTTTCGAATTAATGCCATCTTTATCAGGTGAGTATTAAGGCTTTTCAATAAATAGGTTGATTTCATGAATTCAATTACATACGTCTAACTTTTGAACTTACTGCTTCCTTTATTCCATTATACTTCGTAGATATCGGTGTGAAGTAACACTTTAGCATGAGCGTGCAGGAATTATAATGCATTTCAAGAACATAATGCAAACGATAATATTAATGTTATGAATAATTTTTTATGCAAAATTTCATTTAACAAGCATACAGGGAAAATAAATTGCCAATAAACCATCACGACGACCAACTACAACGCTACAAATACTGAGTATATGCACTAAATTCGCTTTGTGAAAACGATATTGAATTATCCTTTAATTATTTCAATAGTGGAGTCCGCTATATGAACCGCCAGTTTCGAACCATGGAGTCTCAGATGTTTTCGTTGGATGGCGTTTTCTCTGAGTTATCGAAATGCACTACACTGGTGAGAGTTTGTTTATTGTAATCTAACAGACTTAGCTTCAGTCAATATCTCGTAGCACTGTTAAAGTGTGTAACCCTCCTAACCCTATAGCCTTGGGTAATGAATTCCCTGAACTGGAAGAGGCTTATGCTGGCCTACCTACTGTTTGCAACTCCAAACGCATGATTAAGCAGATTGAAATATGTTTAAAATCGTTACAAGTGGTGTCGGAACAAGTCATCCCTTCTGTCCGCCCGTTGTTAACACGAATTGAACTATTTGGGATCTTGACCTCATGTCTGAACCTTGTGAGTTTCTGCATAATACATTTGTTTTCCAGATGAAAAGGCTGATAAATTACTTTGAAATGTGAGTCTGGTTATGGGATGTCAAATGGTTTTAGGCGACTTGTCTGGATTTACCGGACGTGTAATAAATTTGAATAAGTTATGAAGAAGACAGCTGTTGTTAAACGGCATCATTTCGTAGTTCCTGCACGATTGGTATGCTTCAAAATCACTGGATAAAATGTTTGGGAATCAGTCACTTATCTAAATTAAAAGCGCACGCTAGAAACTAATATTGTAGTGGGTCAAGTAGTCATTATCAGACAAAGGTTGAAGTCCGTTTCTGTGTACAAAGTGTGAAATGCATATGCTCCTGTCACATTTGATAACCTTGAGTCGAAGTTATGAATTGACTGAGAGACAGTCTTAAGTATTGATTTTGTGACCAGGATGTAGTAATTACTTTGCGATGGATTATGTTGGATTTCTGTTCTTATTAAGGATAATTGGATTTTCTGTGGTGTAATAACCATTTAGAAGCATTTTTGGACGGTATTAGAACATCATTTTGCTTCTAAACATGCATTTGACCTGGCAACTGCAGGTGAACTTGTGGATGTACTGAAGTTCAATTCAGTTTGATCCTAGGTACAGGAATTGAAATTTTTCAAGGTGTAAGGAAAAGGAATGTGCTCTTTATGGCTGACTGAAGCCTCAGAGCTTTTAACTGCATGATTTAATCACTCTTCCCTAGTAGTTTAATGAAGACAGCTTTCTCTGCTATGGGAATTGTATTTTAAACGATAGTTGTGACATAAATTGAAGTCTTTATGATATCCTCTAGCCAGCAATACTGAATGTATACACCCTAACTCATCTATTTTTATTTCACCCATGCATACTTTCCAGGCCTTTGCGAAAGGGCATTTCACTGAGAAACATTTGTGCTGGATAGGAACAAAACTACTGAAATGAAAATATTGTTCCCTCCATATCTGCTTGCTAAATACTGTTCACTTAAATGTCCCGTCTTCCTGCCTAGTCATTAAAGTATCCAGGATACTCAGTCATTTAGTTTGATTTTTGAAGTCACCCGAATGTTTGGATGAATATCATTAAGTAGAGTAATGGGATTGTCAGTCGACTCATTACTGTCGCCAATTTTGAGCGTATCATATATATATATATATATATATATATATACGTTCAACTTCACACTAGTGCATATTGTCTCTACTAAATGTAGTTCTAAAATTGTTCGCACAGATTCTCATACTGTGATTAGATTTTTATTTTGTTCATTTTCAAAGGATCGTCAAACACCATTGTGTGATTGCGAACTATGGTAGTGGTAAAGAAACTGGGAAGTGATATCATTAGACAATATTTGTCTTAATGTTTTACTTAAACTTATTGAAGGAAGTGTTTTAATTTTCTCAGTTGTAATTAATTATAAATTGAGAAATCGACTGTGCATAACATTCGTGGTTACGCTGATAGCGGATACTTGTCTGCAGTTTCATCAAATATTTATTTTTCACACGGTAATGCAACGATTCTACTCTGTGTTCGACCACCAAGTTATCGTGTTGTCTCGGTATTTTGGTCTACGCAGACATGCCATCCCTTACTGTTCTGGAAGATACAATCACCAGAGGCCTTTTAAAGAAACAGTCCTTTGCACAAGAAATTGTAGTTAACCATTCAGCTTAAGATCGATGAGATGCCTTGAAAAGCAGTTGCTGACGTCTTAGATATAATTTGCTTCATCTGAAGAAAAAATCTTCCAGAGTTCAATTGTAATGGCACTTAGGCTAGATGAAATTGTGACCAAAGGTTACTTTGCGCATCTATAAAATCCTGGGAGAGATTTTTGGGTGATCTACTAAGTTTTATTATTTAACCTGCCTAAGCTAAGAGAGTCACGTTAACATATTAAGCATTTTGCTCATTATTATTCTTATTAGTAGATTTTGCAAAATGAATTTCATTCTGAATTGAGTCACTTAGAATGGATGATTCTATGCATCACTAAAACAGTTGAGTCCCATACTTAGACTTTATGAATAGTCCATCATCATGTAGAAAAACCACTATTTATTTAAAAAAAACGTGCTTCACTAGAAACTTCATTTAATCACAAACTTTTGACATTCTAATAACCGGATAATTCAATAATCCGTATCAGTTAAATGCATTTCAAGTATTATGATTTCTACTAAACGTTATTGCCTGTGAATTTTTTTGAAGTTCGAAGTGTCGTCATCAATATGGAAAATAATGTTCACAATATGTGACAATTCTGGGAGATTTTTGGATGCTTCATACGCTCTAGTAAACTACGCCCTTTCAAAAGTTTTCTCACACGAAGAAAACGTTTCGGTGTATGATATTTTGAAATCAGTTCGTAACGAGGTTCTCATGGTTCTTCAAAATAGTCAAGAGATTCTGGAGTCCTCACATGAAGCCTGTGTAACAGGTAGACTACCTACTCCACACGCGCACTTCCAGTCAGTAATTATATCTTTAGGAAGGGCTTATATCGAACACTATTGTGACGTAAGTTAGTTCAAACTATCAAATTATTTTGCCTTTAACTTCTTCAGTTATATTTTATTTTACCCATTAACTGTCATTCATCCCATAGAAAAACTGTTCTAAAACACTGTAAATCCTGCACATCAGATAACTTACTGTGATTTAGTATTATTTGTTGGTGGCCATTTAGAAATGAATTGTCATCTAAATGATGTCAATGCAAATATTTCTGCTATTGTACACATGAACCTCGAATTAGTCTTTTTGTAAACTCAGCCAACTGTATCATTAGTAACGCATAACTACAGGTTATTGTTCAGGAAATATTATCAACTGGAAGTGTTTAGTGCAAGTCACTGTTTAAACAAAGAATATTTGAAATAGATTCCGTCGGGGATGTGGATAAATCATACCACTCAGTAGGTCTTGACTACCATCAATTAGCAGTCGTACCTTGGAGTGCACATTGTTTTTTATTCTTAATTGCACTGTACATTTGCCGACATATTAAACTAAAACCAGGCGTTTCAGATTTCGGCATAAATGTGTTCTATGTAGACCCGACGCCTTGTTGATATTGAGATATGAAGATGGAAATATGGACGGGAACATTATTTCTTCTTGTTGTCTTAGTAATAATACTCATCTAACTAGTTAAGTTTTATACATCACTGAAATCTTGGTTTAATTACTTTAAGGGTTCCCCTTTTTATTCTTTACTAAACTTACAATTATGCTATTAATTAAATAGTTCGGTATCCTGTTGTAATAGTGGCTACTCATGGAACATATGACCTGTAAACAATAGTTCACTGAACGTTTGACGACTGTATAATTGACATTTTATCAGGTAGGTTGTGTAAATAGGTATAGTGACTCTCTCATTCGCCAATATATAGCAGCATAAAAACAAGAATGAGAGAAGACAGCACATAAAAGTTTTTGAAAGTCTAGGAAAGTGAAGATGAACTTCCTATTGAATCTCACTGAATGTGACACGATTTCAACCATTTGGTTGGAGTCCGAACCCCAGTCCACCTTTCAAGCTCTTGAGAGCCAAGTATTATTAACTTTCATACCATGTGCCCATTAGCACATATGTGGTTTTCAAGTGTTAGTTTGTAGGCATCTGATCGATTTCAGTTTCAATCACGAATTGACTTCAGTTGTAGAACCATTGAAGACCAGGATGTACTGGATAGCTGTTTTGTTCTTGTTTGGGACTCCAGCGGTACTCTGCTGACCCCACCGGGAATCGAATTCAAAACATTCTGGTCATAAGGCAAACTCGTATACCATGTGCATATGGTTAATGAATAATCCAAATTTCGTTTCTCTAAGACTCGATCAAAATACGAAATTAGCTGAAAGTTTAGAGAGTGGCTCCGATCGGGTCGTTTTCGCATATGTCAGCGACATCATCCGCCTTATTACTTGTATGCGTAGATTTTAGCTAGTTGGGTTTGTAGCTAGGTATAAAACCGTGTTTAAATGCTAACAGTTTAGGTCGTAACGACCAGGATGTCTCTTTTACCTCGAGTCATCCTCAACAGTTACAGATTGAGGGGCCTAGTTAACTGTCGGAGACCATTATCAGACATTATAGTAAAAATAACTAAAAGATCAAAATGAAGTACGACAGTATAGAGACGAGTTTTGTAAGCCATCAACACGCGTAAACAGAAAATAATTCCGGTTAAATGGCCTACGAAAAAGAATTCAGTAGATCCTTCAACTGTGTACCTGGTTAACCTGACAAAGGATATCTTTCTAGACGAATAAATAAAATATAAAATGGAGTGTTGGAAATGCATTCAGACATGAATAGCTTAATTATAAAATATCTCATGTCTGAATGAATTTACTCAAGCTTGCAGATATCTGCTACCGATATCTGCAAGTGGGTATGAAGTCTACGTCCACAGATTCCTGCTAATTGCTTTATTCCAACTTTTGACAGCGTCCTGTAATAGACAGTATCGTGTCATTGAGATCAGTGACCATATTACGGAGAACTCTTCCATGATTTCTGTGCTTTCAATGAACTAGTGATTGGTGGCAGCGTATACAAGCACACGGCTACATGGGTGTCACCAGATGGGTGGGTCAAAAACTGAATTGACTTTATCTCAACCTTAAGGAAGTGGAGACAGCTTACTGGACACAAAAGTAAGAAGAGGAGCGGACGTTAGCTCAGACCACTATTTCGTACAAGGAACACTCCAAATCATATTGAAGGCTTTCACAAGCCAATTTCAACACTCAAAAACTAAAGGATCAGGATACAAAGGATATCTTCACTGCAATCATAAGGAAAAAAGCGGAGACACGAATCAACACTAGCGAAGAGACCAGCGTTCAAAAGCACTGGAAAAACCTTAAAACCAGTGCCTCACTACAGATACATGGAGACTAATAGAAGAGAGAAGGATGGTGAAACAAAAGATTATCCAGTGCATCGACGAGCAACAAAAACAGGAGTTGAATGCAAACTACGATACACTGAACAAAAGAGTAAAGAAGAGTGCCAGGGAAGACAATATTACGAAGTTATGGCAAGTGAAGCAGATCAAGCTGCAGGCAAAGGAGACCTCGCAACACTACCAAACAACTAGGTTCTTATCGGGGAAAAGATCAACACAAGTTAAGCCAGTAAAGGATGACAATAAGAAGTCAATCACCAAACAGGTGGGGTAGAGGAAACACTGGGCTGAACATTCCAAAAGACTTCTAAATCGACCGCCACCTACAACGCGCCCAATAATACCAACAGCGGAAGCAGAACTACCAGTGGACATCAACCCTCCAACGAAAACAGAAATCGTGTAGGCAATCGAGATGCTAAAATCTGGAAAAGAAGCAGGACCAGACGGGACTCGCACAGAGGCATTGAAAATGGACCCAGAGACATCCGCGGACTTAATGACACCATTACTTAAGGTGTGGAAAGAGCGCAAGGTACTTGCGGATTGGAAGAAAGGCTACTTATTCAAAATACCAAGGGAAGGGGACTTTGGCCAATGCAAGAACTGGCGCGCCATCCCAAGCAAAATACTAAGCCGCATCATCCTGGAGAGAATCAAACACGCCCTGGATAAAAAACTTCTAACAGAACAGTCAGGATTCAGCAGGAACAAGCCATGCGTCAATCAAATCGCGACACTACAGATCATCATTGAGCGGAGCTTGGGATGGCAGTCAGCTCTCTACCTCAACTTCACTGACTTTGAAAAGGCATACGAGAGGTGGTTTGAAAACTACTTCGCTATTACGAGGTGCCGCCAACAATTATACACCTCATCCAACAGTTGTACGCCAATTCTGCACGCCAAGTAATCCACAACGAGAAACTCACGGAATCCTTCGAAGTGAAGATGGGAGTAAGACAAGGCTGTCTACTATCTCCAGTCATTCTCCTGATTGCGGTAGACTGAATAATGTAACAGACAGCAGGCCGGTCAGCGAGGAGACAGGCATAAAATGGACCAATACAAAAAAACTTGGAGAATCTGGATTTCGCCGGTGGTATATGTCTGATTTCCCACAAACTGGAAGATATGCAAGTGAAAAGCAACAAATTGGTCGAAGAAGCATCAAAGATAGGACTTCAGGTCAACGTAGGGAAAATAGAAGTGATATAGATTACTGGCCAACAGCAACAACAACACACAATAGTCAGCATAAATGGGAGGAGTCTGAAAAAAGCCAACCCCTTCACCTACCTGCCTATCTGGGAAGCATCGTTTCAACTACAGGCGGACGGAACTGACGAGGATGTCAAAGCGAGGATCAGGAAAGCAAGGCAATCTTTCATCACTCTCAGGTCTTTATGAAGATCAACAGCACTCAGCATGAAAATGAAAATGCGGATTTTCAACTCCAATGTGAAGTCAGTGCTACTTCATGGATCAGAGACTAGCACTGCGCGTCACGAAGAGCACTTGTAACAAACTTCAGACCTTCATCAACAGCTGTCTTCGCTCAACACCACTCAAGATCAGATGGCCGGCCAGAAAAGATCAGCAACAGGGTGGGATCTCTGGCAATAAACGAACCAACCCAACAGGAACCAATTGTGCAACGAATATGCAGGAGGAAATGGAGGTGGATTGGCCATAACTTGAGAAAGCCATCAAGTGACATTGCACGCCAAGCTCCTGAGTGGAGCCCGAATGGGAAGCGGCGAGTTTGTTGTCAGTGCGAGAGGGACATGGAAGAGGTCATGCAAAGAGGAGATGAAAGCATGTGGGCAGACGTGGAGGCAGATGAAAACGTTGGTGGAGAACCGAACGCAACGGAGACATGTGGCTGAAGCCCTGTGTTCCTTAGGAATTAAAGGAAACAATAATAATACGCTGCTAATCGATAGATAATGACCAATACAACATATGCCTGCCTTATGTACCATGCCAACTGATTGGTGTCCTGCATAGCTCAGTATTCTCATTAATTCATTTTCTTCATAATCAGATCTGAATGACAAGGAAGGAGACTTTTTGGTAGGTTTTACTTAGCTACTTCACTTGGCTGTGATAAAAACGCACAATGTCATCCATGTTTATGCCTTTTAGTTTCTTCACATGTAAGTTAAGAGTTCACTCAATGTGACTTTTGCACGGTACACATATAATCGTTCTTCAGTCCTTGAAATTTCGTTTCATTGTGTATATTTTGTGTGGTATGTAAACAAGCATCATTTTTTGGCGAACTAGCTTAATGATTAGTAAAATGTCCTTTTATTGTTTTGTAAGTGGTCTGCTTTCTCTGCCCGTTTGGACCTTATTCGACTGGAGCATCTGGAGTTTTTCAGGGGGAAATCGTGGGCTTCTGTGTGTGCTCGTGGCCACTTCTACTGGTTTCATCTTCATGCTCGCTGTATATTTGGTGCTAATTTCGAACCACCCACTACAGTAGATTGCTCAGATACGCACCAAAATTTTCCACCACCCTCTCTATCCCCATTACATGCTGCAGCTGTTGTCCGTATGCATGGTCAAACCCTGGTAAAATTTATGCGTCAATGTTGTGAACAAAAGTTGCAGAGTCGCTACACTTCTGATAAGAATATTAAATCTTCGACTGTTGATGAGAAAGAAAACGAAGATCCAGCCAGTAATCACAGGAAAGTAAAGTCTTCATTTTCAAACTCAGATATGGCAACCACTGCTTGGTCATCCTCTTTATTAACAGGTATAAGTCTATCTTATTATCTATGAGATTTTGCTAATTAATTTTGGTATTATTTCATGCTAAGTAGTATATGTATAATGCTTGTTGTACGTTGCCATGAATCATGGGTTGGAAACTCACTGTTTTGTGGCTAAAAGTCATTCACAGTGATGCGGATGTGCTTATTGCTTGTCATTTTTCAGATTCTGAAAATTTTCATGAATCATTCCACTAATCTCTCTCCCAATCATCATCCATTGTCTCAATAGGTTTCTTTTCTATACTTTTTCTCGGTGCAGCAACTTATACTCATGCATTTCTCTGCGAAGTTCTGCATTGCGACTCAGCAAGTCAGTACATTTTTCTTGAAGTGATACTAAATCTCACGTCGAACCAATTGGAAACAACGATGGTTGCAAGACTTTTCGGTTCTATTAGGAGTATTGTTTTTCATCTGTTCGTACCAGTACATTTTGAAGCATCTGCATACGTTGGGATTTTTAATATTCTTAAAAATTGTACACTTGCTGAGGAACAGTGTGTGAATAAGTAGTCCGCACCAATGCTGTATGATGTGTATAAGTATTCTAATTAATCGTTTGTTGCAACATAACTCCGGTGCAGATTATTTACTGTTTCGAATGTTTTATAATTAAGTAGGAAACGATTTTATACCTAAGTCATGCGGAGCGATACGAAGTGTATTCATGGTGAAGTAACGTCAAAACCATATATTTATGACTGCGAAGGAATGATGTATTTTTCAATGGTACTTATAGTACTAATATTCATTACGTAGAGAAAGTAACCCATTTGAGAACGATATGAATTACCTTTTTTATTAGTTATTTTGTAGGGATACTTTTTTCACAATTATTCATTTTCATGTTTTATCTAATAACTTTTTAAAGTCGCTTTTAGAATTGCCAGTGTCATTTTCATTCTGACTTCCTTCTAAAATTTGCTTACTAATAAACAACACGAATAATTCTGTCTTATTTGTATTTCTAGACAACGAATTACTCAATCTGTGGTTGGGGACTCGATTACTTTTATATGGTTGTCGTCAAACAGCTGAATTATATACTCTTCTGGGAGTTGTTAAAGAAGCTCGTGTGTATCAATACGAATTATTATGTATTGGTCAACGATTCCATTTATGCAGTTAGTAAGTTGCCTTACTGTTGTTCTTGGTCATTCCTTATTTGTTCAGAGCTAACAGATTTATTGGTTGTGTCATATCAAATTCTGTGGAACTTTAGTTGACGCTAACACTGATACATTTTTGTTTACTGGTTAATGCACGGTTTATTGCTTACAATCACACTACGTAAAATCACACTTCACTCCAATACCAGTAAAAATTGCCTATTCTCATTGATGATTGGGGTAGACTAAGTCATGTTGCACACCATACCTTGGGGAATGAAAAGACAGGAATACTTTGGGTTGACAAGAAGACTCTAAGAGATGAGTACTTCGCGGACGACTTATATCTGTCGTCATAAAGACTCAGATCTACATGCGAAAACCAGCAAATTGGTAGGAGAGGCAGCGAAAACAGGACTTTAGGTAAACATAGAAAAGACAGGTGATAAAGTTACTTAACCAGCAGAAGCACCGATCACTATCAAAGGGAGAAATTTGAAAGAGGTTATCTCCTTCACATTTTTAGGCAGTGTGTTTTCTATTACAGGCAACATAGATAAATGTGTCAAAGGCAGGGTTGGAAAGGCAAGACAGACTCATTAATTTGAAACCAGTCTGCAAATCTACTGCACTCACCATAAGGAACAAGATTCCATTTTTCAACGCTAATGTCAATTCAGTGCTTCTGTATGTTTTAAAGAGTTGGCGTATCACGAAAGGCATTTCCGACAGGCTGCAAGCTTTTATGAACAATTGCCTTCACTCGATACTGAAGATCAAATCGCCAGAGAGAATTAGCGACAAGAAACTTTGACAATGCAACTGCCAATAACCTATTGCCTAACAAATATGTCGAAGGAAATGGAGATGGATTAAGCACACGATGTGGAGATCGTTGACTGACACCACACCAGGTCCACGAATTGAAACCCGAATAGCAAACAACGAGTTTTGTATTGGTCCGAGGGTGACAATGAGAAGATCTTGTGGAGGGGAAATGAAAGCTGATAAGTAATCATAAAGCCAGCTTCAAAGGACTCCAGAGAACAGAATGAAATGAAGATGTGCTGTTGAATTCCCCGCAAAACTTAAGGAAATAATAATAATAATAGTGATAACACTACCTATAAACTTATCAGCTGTTTTTTTAATTTGTATTTACGTGAACTTTTGAACTATTTGTTTTCTCAGTTCTATGACAGATAGGTGTACCCCTCTGATAATCAGCAAAGCAGCTTTCTACCCTTTTCATTGGAAGAGATAGTGGAAAAATCGACTTTAAATATTATGTATTCTGACTAAATCTACCATGCTATGAAGATGACTGTAAGGTTCTCCATACAACATCCCACAGAGTCCATCAGTGCGTGTAGCTAGTTACAAGTGGAAGTGTCCTAGGCTTTACAGACAACTTCAAACTTCCCAAATTTGAATCCACATTACGGTAATCGAAACTGGTGTCATGTGTTCACAATTCACTTTGTAAGTGTCTGGATGTCATATTGCTAGTTGTCTTAATCTTATAGCTAGGAAAGCAACATTTAGTTCTGCGGTAAAAATATTACACTGTTCAGGTGAGGCTTAGGTGATAGTGGTAAGTGTTTGGGTAGTAACCTTAGACGTAGAAAAATGCCGTGGTACTCACGAATGTCTTTTCGTGATCCCTGCTTACAAACACACTGACAGTTGTTTAAGAGTAAAAACAAATTTTATCGAGCTTGCAGCTTGCAGCAAAAAGCAAAATATCCCAACGTAGTCGTCTTCAAGTTAGCAACTTGAGTAAGTTGGGAAACATCAGCAGCATATATTGAGTTCTGTATGGCCGACTGAGTTAATCGTCTCGTAAAATTTCTACTGAAGTGACTAATGTACTAAGTTGCAGGTTGTTTTATTAAACTGATGTACATCGTTAAAAAACTAGCGAGTCTATTTGTGACAGTCAGATGATGCACCAGGCTTGCTTAGTATCTCGGATGCTTGGTTCCACAGTCATACACAGAATCAGTGGGTTTAAGGCAAGGCATATTCGAGAGAATCAGTCAGTATTGATACGCAGACGAGATGGTTCTGCAACACAGACATCCTATGATAACCATAATTTATACCATAATGGCAACATTCGAATCCGTTGGTCCAGAGTTGTTGTGATGGTATTTTTAACCAAGGCATTCTACTCAAACACAAGTAGGCAGTACTGTGACTTAAGGAGAGTTGTCACCTCAAGCGTTTGCAACCAAGTGTTGCCTATTACGGATACTTAGTCCCCACTTTTACATAATTTTGTTAAATGCTTACTGATGAAGGTGAGTCGTTTGAACTTTGTTGTCATTAATTGACCAAATAAGCGATAGAACACTCAAGTAATATAATTCTTTTGGTTAAATGCACTGGAAAACACGTAGTCTTTTGAACAGCTTTAGTAAAAACCTTGGGTATACTTAACATATGATGTTTGAAACAGTGCTATAGAACTCATCTGCACCAACTCCTATTTTGAGAATAAGGAGTGAAATGATGAAATATGTTAAGTTGGAAGTTAAACAGCTCAAATGCAGTGGTTGTTGCTGAAACCTAAGCATGAATATGCAGGGCTATTTTGTCATCTTTAGCTCAGGTGTCATATCAGGTTGTGCGACGATGTTAGTAAAAGTAGGATGAATAAAAAGATAACATGTTTCCGACGAGATGTATTCACTTCTTATCGACCTTCAACTTTGTAAGAGTTTCATGAATCTTCTTTGAATTTTCTCTTCATCATATGCATGTTTGGCCTTCTGTAGTATGGTCGCCTTATGGAGGTTGACAACTTGTGAAATGTTGCACTTTTTGTGAAGTTCATTGTTGATTTGCCATTTCGTCGAGTAGTACTCTTTTATGTGATTTTCTTGCATGCAGTCGAAAATTAGAATCACAAAAATGTTAATTTTTCTCTACTAATTTACCTAATTGTTTTATTTTTCAGGTACTATTTTTATTCAGATTTTGTCTTATTTTCTGTATCTTTCTGTTTTAGCGCTCAAGTTGCCTTGAATTTAATGGCACATTTAGATTTATTCGCACAACATCGATGGGCTTTCGAGTTACGTCTACGTCAATTAAATCATATTGCAACATGTCAAGTGTCTCTTGAAGAAATAGTCAGTAAGAAATTGAAACAGGTACCCAAAACTAAATCAAAAGTGAGGTCCAATCCTAAAGGTTTTAGTGAGACTGATGAATCCGGTTTTATTCGTTCAAAAGCATTCCCTAGTATGTCTCTACACAGTGGTGACGGTGGTGGGATGTTGCCTAAAGGAATGAGTGAAGAGGATTTCTTATCACGAGATGCAATTTCTGATGGCTCCAATGCATTACTAACTGATGGTCATAGCAAACATTTTGGTTCACTATTTTATGCCAGCCCAACTTGGCGTTCATATGCAGACAAAAAAGACAGTGCAAACGATATCTTTCCTAGTGCTATACAGATTGGCTCAGTAATTGCTGGGAAACGACTAATTTCAGACTGGAATTTATGGTATAAGGAGGGTTTGTATATACCGACTTCTAAAGACTCTACCTTCGAATATGTGAGTTCCTCCTTCTTAAGTGTTGGTGGTTTACCACTTGCAACCTGTGTCTGTTCCATCCTCAACGGAGTAACATGGCCTTGGTTATTTGTCGTAACGCGTTTAGTCAGAAACGATCTCTTAGCAGTATCTCACTATTTGCCTGCTTTATACACTTTTGCACCAAAACCTACAATTCCGTCTACGAAAGCTTGTAATCAGGTATGTGATCTTAAAATATTTCTAAATCGTCTTATTTATTTATCTTGTTGCTTATTGCAAATTAACTTGTAATTTATCAGCAAATGTATGAACGTTGTCTCTGCCTTGTGTACTTCGCGATAAGCTAATTTTAAATTCAGGACTCGTAGGACCTGTAACACCACTCATCATGACATGTCCTGAAACTGGGTTTCAGTTTAATGGTCAAATACAGTGTCCCTTTAAGTAGTTTTTTATTTTTGAGAAAGTGACCGAGCACTTCAGTGTCAGTTCACATTTCTGTTTCATAGGACAGCATAATTTCATTCTAGCAATCATTACGCAAAGTCTATCACCTGGACCCCATACAATAACCGGGTGAACGTCAAATATGACTCGAGGTCTAATTTCTGATAGCAACATTGTATTTTTAATCTTCTTAACTACCTGCACTTTTAGCTTTACTGTTAATAAAGTAATGGGAGTATTTTGGATGTTATACACTAGGAAAACGAAACTGTCTTCATTGAGAGATTGTAGGGACAGCTCTCATCATCTTGTAGGCACGACTTTGAACTTTGTAGCAGAATATTGGTTCGTGGACGAATAGGTGTCTGTTTCCACCCTGATTAAGTAAATTATTAAAAAGGATTACTCCTGAAATACATGAGTCAGTGCCCGTTTGTGCCTGGGACTGATTGAACGTAGAGAAATTAAAGCCAGTATTTAGTGGGGGGTAGATTAACTAGGAGTTTCAGTGTCGCAGAAGAGGTTGAAGTTGAAGAAGTCTGTTACTCTATTCAGTAGTTGTATACCCTGCTTGGTTTATTCTCGTGAATAGCTTTTGAAATATTAATAAACTTATCATCCCATTCTTCTACATACAATTCTAAAGAAAAGTTCTGCCCAATAAATCGAGTGCTACCCAAATACCAAGAAATAAAGTCATTAATTGCCTATAGTATGTTGAAACGATGTTGCAGTATCTAGTTAGCACAAATGAGCTGGATAAGCTTCCGAATGCTCTGAAATAGAGCTTATATTTTCATATCATAAGAACTTATCATCGGGCTGCGTTATAGCACTTGAAGGTGTCTGATTTTATGCACTATGAGTGCTACATAAAATACTGTCACATTTATTTGCGAGAATGGAAAAACAGAACTCCCCAAAATCAAGTTGGTGTTATAACGGGGCGTCTTCCTAAGCAGGTCGACTTTACTAACCCTCTTTCTTACGGTACACTTGCTCGGAAAGGTCAGTTCGCTGAAGGTGAAGCCAGATCTGTTTTGACCTGGACCACTTTTTTATATATTATAGGCAGACTCAATCTTAATAAGGATCCAGTCAAACTGAAACAAATCATCAGCGCAGAACTTTGCACAAAGTGTAGCAGTTCAAGCTGCAATACTTCCTAAATACACAAAGAAAAATGCATTGTGTATATAATAAACAAAATATACCGGATAGTGAATGATTGCCTGTAGCAATGTGAGGATTTTCAGGGTCACGAAACTGATGATGAGTGAATACATCTTCTCAACTAAGGGTCATTTTCAACTTTGTTGTAACAATATTCAACCACTGATTCTCTGTTCCGAGGATCCTAGCCTGTTCGATGTTGGAGGTTATGGCTTGACATGTCCTAACTATACCAATCAATACAGCTTCATAACTATTTCCCCTCCACACCTAACTATGCACTTAATCCTAACATTACTGATCACATTATACCACAACTCAGGAAACAGAACGTAAATACGGCCACGTCTCACCAGCATAATGAAGGACAGAACGAATTGCTGCGCAGCATACACTTTTTCGATGGATAGCAGGATACTAATTCTATGCCAAAGATGACTTAAGTTGACAAATAATACCACATGAGTCTTTTTTATCCGTATCAAGACTTCCTTATGAATCAGTCTGTTATGGTTGGCGTCACTTCTGTATCAGCGAGGTGGTCAACGCACTTAATGATTTCATTCTATTCTTTAACTAGGAGTTGGTGAAAACCTCTCCTGGAGCATCGTCCTACATGTGAATGAAACAAGCTTCCTATCAAAACTGCTAAGATTTCTGCACAAGATGTTCTGAAAGCTCAGCACTGTTGTCTTGTAGGACTTCATATTGTAGATCATTGAGAAGCTGTTCTGGTAATCAGTCTATCTCTAAATCCAACCAGTATCACTGCCATCTAGGTAAATCTATCTAGGAATGGTGATAGTAGACGTTTTAACTGACTTCAGATGATAACTCTCCATAAGCTTGATTAGTACGACATACTTTCTTGGCACTTTTGCATCCAGATGCATTTTGACCAGTCGTATCAAATGTAATCCTCACGTCCAGAAATATAATATGTTACCTCCAACTGTGTCTACCAATTTACATGTACCTGCCAAAGCACATACATCGGAAGAACAGAGAGAAGGGTTATTGTCCTCATTTCTGAACACATACCAAAGAACGTGAGACTGAAAAGTCCAAAAGCATTAAACAGTGCGATTGCGCGTCATCTATTAGACACTGGTCATATTGTAGACAACCTGAAGTCGTTCAAAATAATCAACAAGCAAAAGAAACCTAACTTGCTACGTTTTGCTGAAGCAGTTGCTATCAAACTACTTAAACCAAATCTATGTACGCAGAAAGAGACAGTGGTGAATCTTGCACTGCCCTGGTGACAACAAAATATACAACTTGTATGAGTCACCTTTTTCTTGTTTAGAAAACTCTACTCTCTCATCTAAACATGACTCACCCTTTCTTGTTCTTTTCTCTTCCTTTTTTTCTATTGGCTATTAGATAAAGCATTTTCTTTAGTTACGTAATCTACCTCTTTGTTATGCTCTGTCTAGCTAAACCTTGTTTCTATACACACACATATATACGCAACTCTGTTTTCGTTTCCAAGCCTAATTGCTTAATTATTCTATAAATATTTACAAACTGTCAAATATTGATCACAGTTCATTTGAATTATTCTATAAATAGTCAGTGTTTGTAACTCTTAATTAGTTAAATCATTCTGATTAAGGCACTCTACTCGTACTCATGCAGCCAGGTGAGTGCTTATGGCGAGTTGTCATCTGAAGTGGTGACGACTAGTGGCGTCCGTCAAGGATGCCCATTACCCCCATTCCTATTCAACTTCATCGTAGACGTACTAATGGACTTAACCCTAACACACTTCAGCGACTCAGGGATTGACTTGCTACCAGGGAATAATCTCGTCGACTTAGAATATGCAGACGATATAGTCCTTCTAGGCGAGGACGCTGACAAAATGCAGAGTCTACTGAACACCTTGAGCAGCAATCTTCGTATGTTTGGTATGCGATTCGCCCCTGTAAAATGTAAGATGATGCTGCAGGACTGGACTTCACCGACCCCTAGATTAGAAATAGGAAGTGAAGTGGCAGAGCACGTTGACCGCCTCACTTACTTGGGAAGTACCATCAGCCCCAACGGGTTGATCTCAGACGAAATCTCAGCACGAATACAGAGGGCTAGTTTCGCATATGCCAGTTTACGCCGTCTCTGGCGTAGACGCGATATCCGACTATCGACCAAAGGGCGTGTGTACTGCTCAACAGTCCGCTCCGTCCTCCTTTATGGCTGTGAGACCTGGCCATTGAAAGCAGAAGACATGAAAAGATTAGCTGTCTTCGATCATAGGTGTCTGCGTTCTATCTCCCGTGTGAAGTGGTATAATAAGGTGAGCAATATTGAGGTTAGGCGTCGAGTGCTAGGTAAAGAGGGAAATCAATCGACGAGGCTGTGAAGTTACATCGACTGAGATGGTTAGGACATGTGTTACGTATGCCGAGTCACCGCCTTCCTCGACGGGCAATGTTAGCTGATATAGGGTCAGGCTGGAAAAGAGCTAGTGGCGGTCAAACCAAAACATGGCACCAGTCAATGAAATCCACAGCAGTTAGTCTAAGCCACATAGGGAGGTGTAGACTTCCTCACTGGTTGGGGTCCTCGAGACGGTAAAAACCAATGGTTGGAAACAATTGGTGACATGGCTCAAAATCGTTCTCAGTGGCGCAGATGCATCCACTCCTTGTGACCTATGATTTCCAATTAAATTGTTTTGTTCTCCGTTATTACTATTCCTTTGACTCATACCTCTGTTTACTGTCTATATTATGCATTTCTTCTACTTTCTTCTCTTGCTTTGTGTGCTACATGGAGTGTGGCGACTTGAACTGCCGCACATATGTGCAAAGTTCTATGTCGAAAACCGACCGACCGACCTAAATCATTCAGGACTGTTACTTTTACTTCCTACCAATTACTCCTTGTGATCGTAGAAAAGTATGTTCAAATCTTTAATGTAATGTAATTCATATTTTTTTATCGTTCAGGTTGTAACCAGTTGAGAAGAATCCTCGAAATAATAAAAGATGAGCTCATATTATCCTGGTACAATTGTTGTTCTTGCTTTGTTCAAATATGATATGTATTGGATCCCGACAAGTGTATTTACTATCCAGAACCTGTCGAAGGGTGATGATACTATCGCGAACCTTCCTCCGGGTCTAAAACATGCTTGGCTTTCCAATGTTTGCTTTTCTTGAGTACCACATAAATTTTGTAGGGCTGTATACTTAAAACAATGTCTAGAAGTCATGGTGTTTTCGTTATTTTGTCACTTTATGCGACGGTTATCTTGTGATTTCATTTTTGTCAGTTTCTAAAACCTATTACTTCAGGCTATCCTGGACCTTCATTATGTATGCAGTTGTCTGTGAAGTTTGGTTTTTCAAATTTTAGAAAAGCAGTTTACCGCCTAACCTCACTTATATATGCTTCGTGTTATGGGTCGCATTCACTACCGTGGGAGTTTGCAGCTCTTCGGAGATGCGCTGCCGAACATTACTTTCTTTTTTTGACGAAATGTGGAAGTATGATGTCATCTTGTATTTGTAAATGTCTCATGGATTTAGGTCATTCAGCTTCTCTGGAATAATCTTCTAAAATAATCTGCAAGGTTTAATCTAACCACTCCAGAAGTTGCTTCACAACTCGTATGTATTGTTTAAGTATCAGCTATAAATTCATAAAAGCACTGACTATGTATTCGGAAGCATTTTTGAAGTTCTTTTTACTTTCCTCTAATTTTATTTCTAGTTGGTTCTATCCCACTTTATTTGTCACCATTGTTATTATTATTTCACACTTTTTTGACAAAACTAGACCTCCTTTATATGTCCTGAAATCAATTTCTTTGTACAGTAATCTTGTATTTCATCAGTCTTGACTTCCATCTTAATATTTATTTGATGAAATTGGATTTAAAACCTGCGACAATTAATCATCATTCAGTTCTTTACACTTAGCTGGTATCAATCACTGTGCACAAGAACGTTTGATGAAGTTGTTCTCTTAGTCGTAACTGTTTTCAAGGTATCTGCAGGGATATAATTTTCTATGGGAATATTCCCAATTGATTTAAAATGCTTGTTACTTAATTATGTAGAATTCGATGGGATCAATCTTGCGCACTGTTGTTTGAGTACTATGAATTATGTAGCGTATTTAATTCTTTTGTGTTTCAATTGAAACATAAGGCTTTATGCTTGAGCTTTGGAGTATTGGTAGCGGTGGTCGGAATGCTAGCCTCACGCCCAACCTCCTCTCTTTACTGGGCATACTACAGGGTAGACTATGTGTAAGAGTGCGGAGGCCGGGAATCCAGTGTTCTTGGTTGGTGAGAATTCTACCCCGGCACTACCGATGCAAATGAATTATATGTAAAGTATCTAATTTACATATAAGAATTTCCTTGGTAACTTGTTGCATTATATATTTTTATTTAGGAGGAAAATGAGGCAAACAGGAGTTTGATCGAGGCATTCTCATTGCTTAACGGTACTCCTAAGGAAAAAACTTCGGATTTATGCGAAAATAAAAAAGAAGCGTCACCTGAAAGGAATTCACAGGACAGTATTCATACTGGCAAATACCCGTTACCACGTATACCGAAACCAAATGCTCCTCGACGTTTGGGGGATATTTACAGTAAAACCGATTTCAGGAAATGCCGCTCGAGGGCTCCTAGTAAGTTTTAATATCTAACTCTTTTTTCTTTTAACAGTATGAAGTCTCCATTATAGTCTAAATTTTCTTCATCTCCCTTTTCTCTCTGTTAACAAACGTTTGGCACTTTGCATTCAGCTGTTTTCAACCATTTTGGCAAATGTTCCATCATGCGAGTAGACAATCGTCTTTCTGTACGACCTATGTATTTGCTTCCACAAACACACTCCAATTGATAATATACGCAGTTTATATCAACTAGATGTGGCTAGTTGATATAAGCAATTCCCTACCACAGACACTTTCGAGCAATGTTTTTCTGCTGCGTGACAGTGACCCGAAAGCAATTTCAAAGAAAGGTTGAGGTGTTCTTTAGAGTAGCAGCTTGGAACTGTTAACCACTTTGAAAGTAACGATGCTACAATTGACAGACTTGTATGAGGTGTAGAATAGCTAAGTTTAGTGAAGGTCTTTCTAAGTTCATCTTAAGACTGTGTGTGAAAAGAGGGTTACAGAATTTCACCATTTTCTTATTAAATCCTAGGTCGCCTACAAGCCCATGAAGACATTGCTAGTGTGGAAATACCTGTAGCATCTTTTGACAATACCACCATACTCTCCAAGATACCGGTGTACTGTGACAATAATGCGACAGGTACAGTTAACATTTTAGATGATGAGCAGTCAGAGACTGCAATGTTATTGCGACGGCTTGGCCTTACTCCTAAAAAGGTTGATATTCCTAAAACTCAGAAAATACCTGCTGTAGGACCTCCAGTATATAAGGTGAGTTGACATTTTTTGAAAAATATTTTGAATTATTTATGAAATGTTTGTTTACTTTCAATGTTTCTGACAAATAGTTAAGTAATATAAAATTTCTCTTCAGTGTCAGTCTTCTTAAAATGATTGTACAAATTATCTACGGTGGTTAACTCTCAGCATTTAACTTCCTGTAAAACTTCAGCTTGTTCAGTATGTTTTTATTCGGACAGTAATTTATTTTTCGTGTTTCAGTGTGCACAAAGTTTTATGCAACCGGATATATCATTACCACTTTAGAGAAATTAATTTGCTATGAAATGGTTTTTGAGAGTTATTATTACTATTCGCTTGGGTTGCGAGTAGAAGACAGGGCTTTGACAGCACGCTTCTATTTTTTCCGTTCTCTGACTGGGTCTACGACTATCCAAACTTAATTATTTGGGTTCTGTCTTCCTCACCTAATATTTTTCGTATTCACGCCTACACTCATTGTGATATTTCACTTAATTATCGTGTATTTGAACTGAAATAAAGCATCAGCATGAAGCTTTGCACAGAAATGTTGCAGTTCAAGTTGCGACACTTCATAAAAGCACCCTTTAAGGCAATGAAAAGAAAAAAATAATAAAACTACAGTAAACGCAGAATTGACAGAATAAAGAACAGTCATCTAAAGGCTAATGAGGTTTTTGAAAATCAACATGATAAGAAGTAAAGACATTTTTGCACAGAGAACGATTTCAAGTAGTGTTATCAACAGGCTTCAACCGTTGATTCATAGCATCCTGAACCAACCGCCCAAAAGCTTATCTTTTCGTGGCTTGACTTAGCAGTAAAAGACTTTATAGATTCACGCCTTGTTAGTCCGTGAAGTTTTCACTGAAAGTGTACCCGAGAAATACAGCGGAAGGCTAATTTACTAGCCAGTCCTAAGTCCGGAAAAGAGGGAGGAATGAATATGGAGACAGCGACCCTATCCCGGGAAAAACAACTCAGTAACTGCGTAAACCTAAAAGCACAGAAATAATATAAAAAGTAAAATTTTTCTTCAAGTATTGGTTTTTGTAGGTTCCCAGTGGCTCTGTAACTAATATCGACCCATGGTGAAATCCTCCAACCAAATAAAATTTTTCTCCCTTGGAACTGGGGATGATCCCAACTGATAAAAGCCTTTGGGAAGCCAGTCAACCAACAGGTCTTTTTCAATGAAAGCTTAATTAAACAGAGACATGGCATATCCATGATGTCTGGCACCTACAAAACTGCTTAGGTTGCAGAAGAAATTAGATCAACGCAGACGACAGATAGTAAAAACAACAGAGAAAGTACTGTCGATCACTTCAAAAGACTTAAATCAACTACCATCTACAACGCGTCCAGAATCACTACCACCACCAGACAGAGAACTATCGGTGTACACCAACCCTCCGACCAGAACAGAAGTCTTCGAGACCATAAAGTTACTGAAAGCTATTTGGAAAAGTAACAGGTTCGGATGGGATCCCCCCAAATATTGCAGATATACTAATGACACTATTGTAGAAGGTATAGAAGGAAAGGATGCTACCCGCTTGACGATTGGAAGAGAGACAGTCTTATAAAACTGCCAATGAAGGGAGCTAGTGCGAAATCATCCTCATTTTTACTCTGAGCTAAGTGCTAAAGCACATCCTAGGAAGCCTAAAGGATCCTGTGGGTGGAAGACTTCATCCAGAAACAAGCTGGATTTAGAGAAATAACAGCGCATTACTATTGGACGGATTCTAGAATGACAGTTAACTCTTTAGCTGAACTTCATCGACTTTGAGAAAACCTTCGATAGCATCGACTGAAAAGTAATTTACCAACTGATTTAATAATGCAGATTGCTATGCTGTAAACATTTATAAGCATCATTCGACAGTTATGCCAGGATGCCACATAACAAGTAATTCACAGCGGGGAAATCCACTGAAGAGTTCGAAGTGAAGAATAAGAGTGAGATAAGGCTACCTACGATCGCTAATGGTTTTCGGTAATGTGTTGCACTGGATCATGTGCACAGCATTGGGAGCGAAGAGATGGGAGTACGTCGAAGTGAATGAAAGTCCGTGAAAGATCTGGACTTCGTTGGTGTTTTATGCTTCATGTTAAGTAAACTTGAAGATTTACAAGCGAAAAGTAAATGTTTGCTAAAAGAGGTAGGAGATACAAGATTTCAGTTGAATATAGAGAAAGCTAATTGAATGGAAATCACCAATCAACAGCAACAAACACCAATCACCATCGTCTGGAGAAATCTAAGATGAGAATTTTTAACACTCATTTCAAATCAATGCTTATATATGTTTTAAAGATTTGCAGTGTCTCGAGAAGCATTTATGACAGGCTCCAGACTTCCATCAACATCTTGCTGGCTAAGTACTGAAGGTTGTATGGGAGGATAATCAGCAAAAAAACTCTGACAATAAACCAGCCAAGAATCTAATACTCAACAAATATACAGCGGGATACAGGGATGAATTGGATATACACGGAGCAGGCGGTTGAGTAGCATCACCTACCAGGCTCTTCACTACAACTCGAATGTGAACTGTAGGCTTCGGTGTTCTAGAGTGACATGGAGATCATATATATAAGAACTAAAAGCTGGCGGGCAGTAGTGAAGCCGTCTAAAATAGATGTGTCCCTAAGGCCTAGTGTTCCACTTGGAATCCAAGGGATGAATCAGTGCCTCTTCCCTAAATACAGATGTGATAGTAGTGTGCTTTTGACAGTGAAAAGGTGAAGGCTCCACCCTGGCCTGGTAGACAAAGAGTAGTAATGAACGGATCTAAAAAGAACAGCCATTCGACTTTGTGTATTCAGATAGTATTATCTTTAACCGGACAGTAGAGCAGTGACTGTACTACTCTCCAGGTCACTACCACCTAGAGAGTCTCCTTAAGCCCATTGGACAAATTTTTCAGATTCACTATGTTTACTAGGCTGGTCTAAGTAAATAGCGTTTTTCAGATGTACAACACTATATGAAGCCTGTGATGCCGAGATTTTTGATAATGGGACCTAATATTCTTAAAGTATGATAAAAAACCCCAGGGCCCAATTGTTTGAAATTGTTCACTCACTGTCTGTTTGGATGTTGGGTTTGCGCAATTTCCTCAGTGCCCCAGACCGTACTACCTAGGGATAAGTTGAGGTTTACGATTTCTTTATAATACAACAATTCGAAAATTTGGAGATGTAAGTTAATTCAATATTAATTTGCAGGAAAGAAGTAGTCTTCTTACGAAAAACTCATCTCTGTATTTACTAAGCTAAAACCTATTTGTCAACCCTATGTCACTTAACTTTTGTAGTCTTTGGGATTCATTATCACCATATTTATTTAAAATCCTTCATATCTCATGTTAACATGGTCATGTGCAAAGAGTGTTGGTTTCTTTTTTATGCGTCATCTTTAGGGGATAAGTATTTATGTTGCACGCCTAAATTCTTACTATGAAATTGTTGTAGGATTGAATTCCTCTCTATCAGCATAGACCTGAACACTCCTGTTAGTATCCTAAACCTTTACAGTCAAAGTGTGACCTATAGCCCACTTCATGGAAAAACCATTCAGGGTAATTCACATCCGCTCACATTGTTTATGAGACGAAAAGTGGTGAACATCGCTGGAAAGCTTAGCTTATATATGAAGGTGTCAGTGTTGGTAGTAAGTAACGTTAGCACTAAGCGATGCAGACTACAAATACTTGACTGACTCCAAACACGGGAAAAAGCGTTACTTACGTAAGCTTTCCGAAATTATAGTAAGTGAAATGTTGAAAATACTTGAATAATTCGAAAAAATCATCATTCAGTGAAGAAAAATTGAATAATTGGATAATTTACATATTCTTCAAAATTGAGTCAATGATCTGTAATTAGGAGGCAAAACTTTTGTGGTTTGAAGTTGCATACTGTTCATAAGCACACGACAGAATTGTAGAAAACTTTAAAAAATTGAAGTATATTAGAGCAAACAGAAGCCCTGAGCGATTAAAAGGTGAGCAAGACATATGTCCCAGTCCTACTTGAATCTCTCACCTTTAAATGTTTTTCAGGAGACGAATTCTGTATTGATATCTTTTTTCTCTTTTTATAGAATATTCCGAATCGCAGAAAGATCGCTAAAACTAAGCTGACTAAAGACTATGTCGAAGATCTCGATCCAGTAGAATCGTGTTCTTCCTTAGTTAACGCTCCACTGCGTCCACGCAGCGTCAAACTAACCGCCAAATGGGAAGCTAATCAAAGAAAACCTACCATAAATGATGCGTTGTGTGAAGAAAATGATCTGACCCCAGAATTTGTTGATCAAATGGCTCCACTTGTTTCTAGCTTAGCTAGTCGCTTGCATGAAGCTTACGAACAGCTATCCAGCTTCCCAATTCCAGTTCTTTTACGTCCTATATGTCAGTGGTTGGCTATTTATTGGTTAGGAAAAAATGATCATTCTCAAGCGGGAAGATTTCTGTGTCAATCCATTGGTATTGGACCTACAAATTTTTATCTGTCTATTTTAAACTCTCGAGTGATGTAAGTTATTTTTCAGTTTAATTATTCTAGCGTGAAATGAACATTGGATAATTACATCTTCCTAACATATTAAGTGACATTTCGTATCAAATAAGATTAGTCAACTGAGCATATTAAGAAGGACACAAACACTGTACCACACTACTAAATAAATGCTAATGAAAAAATCGGAATTAGTTTGATCAAGTGTTTTGGGTAGCCTGTGTTATTCCACAATAAAATTGCCTGACTGATTGCCTGGTTTTAACATAGAACTTTGCACTTATGTGCAGCATTTCGAGTCGCCACACTACATGTAGCACACAAAGCAAGAGAAGAAATGCAAAATAGAGACAGTAAACAGATATAAGGCAAAAAGAATGGTAATATCGAATAGCAATATACTTTTATTGGGTATTATAAGTCACAAGGAGTAGATGCATCTGCGCCAATGAGAACGATTTTGAGCCTTATCACCAATTGTCTCCAACCATTGCTTTTTACTGTCCCAAAGACCCCAACCAGGAAGTCTACACCTTCCTATGTGGCTTAAATTAACTTTTGTGGATTTCATTGATTGATGCCATGTTTTGATTTGACCACCACTGGCTCTTTTCCAACCTGACCCTATGTCAGCTAACATTGCCTATTATCGAGGAAGATGATGGATAGGCCACAATAAAATTAATATAAATACAAAACTTGTACACTGGTGTTCAGTAATTCCATATCACTTTGTTTATTATATAGAACGCACACTGAAATCGTGATCTTTGTATTAAACACATTAATATGAAATCGCACAGTACAACTATGGTTTGTACGCTCAATTTGGAAAAGATTTCCTGCAGGTGAAAAATGTAAATACCAATCTTTTACATCCCTCTCAGCTGTTTTCATTGTGTTTTCGGTAAAAAATATTAGGAAGAAATGGTGACATAAGGAAACCCTGTTCAATCGCACTGTTAGTAATGCAAACAGCTATGATGGATGGTTGACGGACAGTTTCAAAGAGCAATCCTGTTATCTAACGTATCGGAGGCAATCCTAAGATTAAAAGATACAGCTGTTGTTATCCTGAAACACAAATAACAGGTTTTTAAACAGATTTTTTAACAGGTGACCTGATATTTAAGTGTGAAAATACTCTAAAATATTGCAGGTTTGAAGTAGGAATGGATTTTCACGTTTTATTGATGCATCTGTGTTAACTAATTTCCCCTTTCTAATTTCCCGGTCATTTTTCACTTGATGTGGCCTCAACATCAGTCATCTTAAATCGGCTGATCGTCAACGATCTGTTTCTAACCCAAAGAAAAGTTTCGACTGGTCCCCTGTTTTCCAGAGTACAAGGAACATGTGTGCACCTAATCACCCCTTAAAAAGTAACACGGAATTCGGTCTACCTACCCATGAAGAGCCCGCCACACGTGATAATCAGAATTCCTGTATTCAAATTATTCAACTGTGTCTTGTTGATGAGATCGGTTGTAGAACTTCTAAGCTAGCTGATGAAGTTGATCAAGTTCGTAATCACCAAATCGTACCCTTCGGTCTCGGAGCACGCTTAACAGGTTACTTATTAGTATCACGATATACAAACATTGTTGATGGTTATTTGGAGACATGCCGAGTAGATTCACGCATCATGCATGGGTTCACTCGTAGTGTAAGTTATAAATTCTGATTATATTTTCAAATGAAACTTTTTTACTGAAGTTTTTTAGCTTGCCACAATGGGTCAATATTTACTGTCATCGAGATTATGCAGGCCACATTGGTATATTCAGGTGATGGCGATGAAAGCTGTCCAGGTCACTATTCATACTTTGCCCATTACGAATTCCCTGAATCTTTACCTTCTCGGATTCTGTAGCTCAGATATTTATTGTTTTGTTCATATGAAAACTGATTTTCTTGATATACAAGTCAACAGTTACAAACTGGATAATGTTTACACGCCCTTTTTGTAGTCTGACAGTATTTATTTGAAAAATCCGTTTTCACAATGTTGTGAATGTCTAAAAATCACTTCAAATAGTATCATGGCTCAATCACGCCATGACTGAGATTCTTCATCGTAAATTTATTTATGCCTTTTTCCTAGGACTGTTGACCTATCAAATTTTGTATCATATAACCTTGATTTAAGTTTTTATTTTTGGTTGCAAATATTAATATTCCATTGGAATAGATGACTAATTAGTAAATTCACTTCCAAAGGAGACAAACTATTTTTATCACTGTTCATTTTTACCTCTAGCTAGCAACTGTGATTATCACTGGTGTCATTCAATATGTCTTTTCAACTACTTTTATCAGTTGTACACTTTTCTCTTTCACCGATACTCTACATTACCACCTCTTAGAGTTTATTCGTTAATCATAAACACACTGTATAAATAGCTACTTACATGACACATTGAATTACACTGGCCTGAAACAAACGAAACGGTCGTCCGGTGTTTAGATCACTTCTGGCTGGATAGCAAGCACTACACTGGTTGCTGTAAATAGTATACAACTATTCGTCTCAATCAATCAGTAGTTTATCGCATCATGCATATATCTATCATGGATCTTCGTAGCGTCTGGTTTATCAATTAAGTGATAATAAATTTTCCGTAGTACGCACCCACCAGGGTTAGAACCCAGGACCATCCGGTTACAAGGCTAGCGACCTCGTAGACCCTTAAGCCACTGGGACCCTAAAAGCCTCACGAGCCTGCCAGGATTCGAACCTAGAATCTCCTCCTCCGTAGTCATGCGCCACAGACCCCATCTGTTCACATTCTACTATTATAATTTATTAGTTGAAACTAATCATCAGATATAAAATGCATTGCATACTTTGAATACTGATAACATAATTTGATGGTATTGAACCGATCGAACAAGTGGATATGAACCTCAAACTGATGATTAATAATTCTCCTTTGTTATGCGATATACCTGAGGAGACTGTACTCAGGAAAATAAAAAACAGCTGTTCGGACTGAGTTAGTTTCACATACTTCATTCTTTAGTAATCTAATATTTAGCTTACTTATGCTACACTGAATATTTTGCCTGTGTTTTTACTATCAACTAGTTTCCATGTGATTTTAATCTCTTTTTTTAGGGATTCAAAGCTATACACAGATTCGAGGAAATTCAAAGAGAAAGCCTATACTCAATGGGTGTTGAGGATCGTGCTAGCTACTGGAATCTACGTTATAGCCTGGATGAAAAATTAGAGGTGATGAAATATTTCTCATGTTTTGCCGTTGTTGTTTTCTCTCTCTCGCTCTCGCTCTCTCTGTAGATGTGCTTATGCTGCATTTGTTCTGCCCATCTTCATATTAAAACTAGGAAGAGATCCCACAATGTACATCTGTTTCTCATTCTTTTACGGCACTCTTGGACTGTTAATTTTTTCATGGCAAATGCAGGGATACGTGTATACGTTACGCTTACTTCAAAGTCACTATCAATTGTCTTATTCCTTTCTTAAGTATATCACATATCGTCTGTGGATCAATACTAGTATTCCGTTCCACAAACAGTTAAAAGCAATTAACACAAAGTGGCACAGCGGTTAGGACGCTCGCCAACCATGCACATGGTCCGGGGTTCGATCCCCGGCCGACGCACTCCTTTACCTCACTAAGCCAGAAATAAAAGCTGGTGAAGAGGAAAGGTTGGGCATGAGGCTAGCAACCCCATCCTGTAAAAATAAACGCTGCTACAGAAACTTCAAGTCCTTAGCTTAAAGCCCTATGTTCCACTGGGAACGTGAAGGAATAAAAATAAAAAAACACAAAGTTCGCATTTTGTAGTTTTTACTAATTAATTATTGTTTGTTTACATGATGACAACTTTCGCTCTATTTACAGCCCATTTTCTTCAATAGACTGGTAAAATACGGAACTGTGTAAAGTTGTTTTTACACAAAAGGTTTTTTTTCCAGTCTTGTAGCACTGTGAGTTAAAGCATCCTAACGATAACCCTTTTTACTATCTTGATGTTCACAGAAATATCCACACATCTGTAGAAAAATAAGTCTGAATAATTTTTTGTTTAAATGTTTCTGTACATTAGTATCTGTGGTTCATTAACACATTAGAACATATAGATAGTAATATAGCTGAGTGTTTCTTTATGAGACGTGATGATTCCCAGCATTTGTGAGTTATCTGAATAATTGGATAGATGAGAAGCAGTTTCCCACAAAATAAAGCCTGTAAGCGTTATCGACTACTTAAAAGTATACTAATTTTCGTTATAATAAGACACTTTTTTGCAAAATTCAGTGTTTCCTGTCATATGCATTCTGTAAGATAGTTTCCTCATGTCTCTTCTGTGTAAATATAATATTGTAGTTTGTGAATAGTGCTTGTTTGTGTGTATTCCCTTTCTCAATTTATAACCTAACTCTTTTGAATATTTTGATAGAATTTGCTCAATGAAATGCGTCGTGAATGGTTTACTGAAGATGATCTTGATTGGTTATTCTGTCGAGGGAAGTATTCTTCGAGTAATGAATCGGAAAAAGATTGCCAGCCTTCTTACATAGTCATCATACCAGACCGAGTAAGAACACCGTTTAGCATTTAAACAATATTTCAATTTCAATTCATTTCTAAAATAAACATTTTCTATGCTAGACTGGGATTTCTGTTCCAACTTCTCTTCAGAAGTCCAATGTATTTTGTGGTTTTGTACTTAATTATCTACCAGTATTGCTTGATTAATCCCAGAGTAGTATTTACAATTTTTCGACATGTTGATGGTCACAAGCACTAGGACATGTTATGTAATCACTTCGTTAGTTTACCTCGACGTTTGCGTTAATTTGTTCAAGTTTTTTCAAATACTCCATTGAATTATAATGTACTTGTGCTTCAAATTTCTATAATAATTTTCTTCTAACATCAAGTGTTTGCTTTCTCAGCAGCCAAATTTTACCGCTTCTATGTTACTTTTACATGTTTTTTCCGAAGGCATTCAATTACTTGCCATGGGAATGGATACTTTGGGATCGGGAACCAGGTGTTTCTGTGCCAACAATGACTCGAAATTTCAGCTTGCCTATAGTTATTGGTCAAATGCGTGCTCATTCCATGGCTGGTCAAATAGTAAAACACGATTGTTCTCTTGATTCTGTGGAGTCAAAGTCAGCTTATTCTATCAATCCTCAACGTGGGTTCTATATTGTAAATCCAGAATCAAATTTACAATCTACTCAAAAGACTTTTGAATCTGTATTTAACAAATTGTCTACATGGAACGGTGTTGCAGCCAGGGCGCCGACTGCAGACGAAGTAAACGACGGTTTTACAAATCATGATATTGTAATGTAAGCATAAATTCGTTTTCATAAAAAAGCATCATAGCTATTCGTAGGATTTATATATATATATATATTCCATAGTTTGTGTTCTCCCTAATCTAGTTATCGTGCGCCCACATTCACTGACATAATGCGTTGAGTCGTTGATGAATATTTTAAAAAAACAAGTTCACTAGTGCCACATCTATCTGTTTTCTAATGTGTGACTAATTCTGATAACTTTGATCATATAAGGAAAAAATAGACAATTTACTGCATACTGCGTTGACAAGTAAGATTATCGTTCGGTAATTACCTCTTAGGATATATTCATAAGGTCTTTCAAACTGCATTTCATTGTGAACAGTTGAAGTTTGTGAAGGCTGTAAAAAGTGCTTAAAAGTGGTGGTAAGATATTTTCTTAACTAGTTTGACTTCATATATATATATATATATATATGACTGTAAAAGTTGTGTATTTCGTTTTACCAAATAGTTTGGTTGCCTTCACAATAAGGATTAATAAATTCACTTTCCTTTTACTCGTCGTGATGCGTCTACTGATATTACTGGTTGTTTTGTCAGATTTTCAATTGTTAACAAATAGCTGGACCATTTTACCTTTGTTCTGTTAGTTGGTGTAGAAAAGAAATGATGGGACCTCTACTATGTATAAATGATTTTAAATTTTATAGTCGCCTTTGAGTCGAAGGGAAGAGTTTTATTACATTTCGTGTGTATTGGGTGTGTGCATTTCTTTGTCGAAGTAAAGTTTCAACTGATATTTCAAGCAATTAGTTGGTCATCACATTTTCTACTGAAACTTTACAAAAATGACTATGTTTTGTACGATTTAGATATCTGGGTCACGGGAATGGCTCACATTTCTTGCTTCACACATTCAATGAAGGACTCATTGCGCGTGCCGTCGCTTTAATTATTGGTTGCAGTTCTGGTAGACCACATTGGTGTGGGCGTCATGAACCCTACGCATCAGTTTTCAATCATATTATTGCTGGATGGTATGTTTATTTAATTTTCCAACCATATATATATACGAATGCATTACTCCACATCTTGTTTTCATATCGTGTCTGTTTAAAGTATTGTCCGGAAAAGTTCAGCAATAGCGTCTCAAGGGATGCGAACGCACGGGTGACCTTCACCCGACCAAATCATAAAAATGAGGAATTTTTACACAATGTTGACGTATATTTACAAGAAAGTGCTTGAAAACACATTAAACAGGTTATCTTTCTCTGACATGACTTAAAAATACGTCCCAGATATAATGAGGAGCATCAGTTGCTAAGTTAGACTAGTTTCTTTACATGTATTCACCGAGGTGACTGAAGGTGAGCTGTTTTTGTGAATCGTTCATCTCTCTTAACCTGATTTGAAGTCCTCCCCAAAGCCCTCAGTTGAATTACTATGGTTTCCTGTAAGAGGATCAACGACTGCTTACCAGGAAAATGTGGATAATAAAACAAATTAAAATAAGTGACATTGTAACAACAGAAGACAAGGGCCAGGCAACAGAACGTTTATTACGGAAAATCAACACATATTTATAGATTTTGACGTACATTATTGTAGGTTAATGTTAATAGAAAATACAGTCTGTTGATTGGTTGTTTCTCACACAAAGTTAACCTTGCATCTCTTGTGGCTGTGTCAGTTCTGTATCCGCCTGTCCATCTTGACCTTGACCTCAATTACTGTCAACCAATTTGGCTAGCAACCATCTCTCACCACAACATGACTAATATTTGATACATAAACATTGACCTCAATTACTGTCAACCACTTGGCTAGTAGACAGCTCTCACCACAACATCAACTATATATCTATCCCTAATCGTAACCCTAACATCAATCCTAACCCTAATCATATAACTCTTATACAAACCGTAATTCTCCCCATAATGCTAATTATAACCCTGATCCTAACCCTAACGAGCTAATAACACATTGTCCAAACAGTACTGGTGAATAGCGTTGATATTTCAGCTATGATTATGACAGGTGCCATTAGCCAACGACTAGCATGCGTTCAAGGTCATTGGAGCATTCACACTCCTGGGACGCTATTCTTAAACTTCGCCTATTGTCCTCTATGGGTACTTCCAGTATGTATGTATCACAAAGTCACTTGACTCTCAATCGCAAGATCCAGCTTTCTCTCACTCTTTCTCGATTATCAACAGGGCCAATTTGCATTAATATTTTTGTGATAGTAGATTATAGTGTACGTATTAATTATATTTGTTTTTCTCTTTCTTGTAGCCCGTTTGTTTGCGGTCTATTATGGGATGTTACAGATCGTGATGTTGATAGATTTACATTGCAATTTCTAATGAATTGGCTGGGAAACAAAGATAGTCAAAACAACGATAAGGAATTATGTGATACTTTAGGATCTTCTATATTTCGTGCAATATCTGCTTGTAAACTGAAACATCTGGTTGGGAAGTCAGTGATTGTTTATGGTATTCCTGTTGAACCAAATAAACAGTTACTTCTAAAATTTCCATCTCCATTAACAATAATTAAATGAATCAGTGCTCTTCCTATTCAGGTTTCCATTCTGTTATATTTACTTACAGTTCTTTTTTCACTTTTAAATTTTGCAATCTGCTTACTATAATTTATACTTGTTGTGTAAAGTTATTTTTTACAATATTTTTTTCAAAATTAAACGTTAGTCGATGTTGTTCCCATTATGTGTTTCATTCGGAAAATGCACTCCAACAAGACTTCTGATTAAAATTTAAAGAACTATTAAAGTAATGATGTTTTCAATATATGTATTCATATATGCATCAGTTGGTAAAGCTGTCTTCTTCCCCTGTGTACAATATATTAAAAACAGCGACTATTTTTCTCCTTTATACCTTGTTTTTCGCGGTAGACTAGCTGAGGAAAAAGTTGTCTTCCATTCCAATTGTTATGGTGTCAGGGATAGGTAGGGGTCATCATTTTGTAGGAAGTTGGCATTGTTTTTTCTTTGGGTATAAAGTATTAGATATATTCCGAAAGCAACAAAATGGTTAGGTGGAATCTGTTCTGAACTAAGTCTTACAAGCTTATTTTTAACCTTGCTGTTTTTGCTATATAGCAGAACTTGAAAGTGTTAAATGTGGTTCTTTTTGAAATTTTAGGAGCTTAGGCTGCTCGAACAGTACTTCCACCACTATATCAAACCCAGCGTTAACCATTATTTTTACGAAACCCGCAAACTAAGTGTAGCACTTCCTCATTGTGCTACGTGATGAGCACTGTTGGTATACCATCCAGTTTGAATAGGTACTTGGAGTTCGGGAAAATGGTAGACAACTGAAACGGGTCCATTGCTGATTGTGATTTTTACACCAATTCAGATATTCCTTCGCGCTCTACATAGGGCGCTGTTATGCAGCAGAATATGCTAACACAATTATCCTTCGTTTCATGACGCCACATCATGGTATGGACTTCCTAGTATAACAACCAGCGAAACGGCACGCGAGCCGTCGTGATTACATTCATAGCTTTCAATGTTAGTTGAGCTGGTCTTTTATTTAAAGACGATCTCCACTTTGTCCATGTAGAGGAAGTCAAACTGGAAGAGCACGTACACAATTTTGACACCAGGAGTAAGTGATACTTTGGAGATATCGATGACTGTAAAGTGTTGGTGATATCCTTAGCTAAAACACGTCGAGTTTTGCAGGTCGTTAGGAGGGATGATTTTCTTCGTTAGCCGTGAAGTTATGATTTATGCATCCAGTGACGCGATAATCTGACTCGATGGCCTTTCGAGTTGTATGTTTGTGATCTCACTCCTTGAGGATCTCGACCAAATTGATTTTTTTTGGTTTGAATTTCTGAGGTTTCGTAGATTATATATACTGTGTATTTTGAATAGTCAAGGTTGTTTAAACTGACTCTTGTGCCTATATGAGTGTGGGGGATATTTTCAGATTATTAGTTGCTGAGTGTCTCGTGTCTGTAGGCACTTTCTAGTCAAGTTTAAACAAACCCAGTGATATTCCGTTATACTACAGATATAGAGTAAGAATATGTGTACTGAATCGTTCTTAACATGAATTTTCACAGTGAAGTTAAAATAGACGGACATTTCCTAGGTTGGCTAATGCCATTTACAGCATACGTTTAGAAATTTTAGTCGCCACAACTCCAGTCTTATAACCGTCTTGGCGGATAAGCTTATCGATTACTATTAGTGATTATCTGTCAGTCCAGTTACTGGCTTCTGACCATGTAATGGTACGCTCCACCTTAACGGGGGTGAAACACATTCTTCACAAGAAAATAATCACAATTCGATTAGGGTGGCGTTTGTATTGTCGCGCTGCAGAACTATCAGCTGAACACTCACTTTAGAAAAGCCTGTTTCAAAGAGGCAGACGTCAGCACCGATCGCTTCAGTATGTCATCGCAGGCTGGTAAATCCTGTTTATCCCTCCCCCCACCATACTGGTCGAGAACACTCGTGAGAGTAGTCACATTCTTCTTCAGATGTTTTCATGTCGGTCTCTGGTTGCACTTCACTCATCTCTATAGTGCTTTCACAAAGAGCGTGTTATGTTCTATCCAAGTGACTGATGATGGCCTAATGTAAACAAACAAAATAACATTCAGTATACATGGCCATTCTAATAAATGGCGAAGTTTTTTAGTATGTAATCAATCCATCCATGAAGTGTACCCTGATAAGCTTGACAGTGACCTATAATTTAAATATAGATAAGAGTGCGATATCCTGAAGACTACTTGTTTATTACGTTAATACACTGGTTAACGTATTATGAAACTTTTCTCCAATCACTTTCTTGATGATTTACTCAGTTCTTGGAATATTTTCTCGCCATTATATTTACAGAAATTCGAAAGTAAGTTGTCTTAGCCAACTTCTTGCATTCTTGGAATTCCTACAATCTCTGCCCTTAGTTATGGGGTTCAATATTACCAGAACTTGGAATTTCGTTCTTCCCAGCATTCTAGGTATTTCCCTGACATACTCCCAGTCTTACAGATCAACTGATTAACACCATGGTTCTTGCTGCCAGTGGCTCTGAACAGCCGGAACAGCTTTTGGCTAGCTCCAAATGAAGCAGCTGGTCTCATCTCAAACGCTTTTTCTCATTACCAGGTTTCATTGTTCTAGCGCAAGCACTTTTTAGTTTTATACATAAGGTAATGACTCAGACTAACACCTTAACTGCACACTGAGATTCAGCGACTCGTGTCAAAAATTAGTAAAGTCCCCAGTGTATTTTAGCGGAAGGTATCCTAAAACGAACCTCGCCTAGATTACTAGGTCACTAGTATTCTAGCCGGTCCCAAGCCCGGATAAAGAGGGAGGGTTGGGGCGTGGTGCTAGCAACTCCACCCCCAAAACTTAACCAAATTGCTACTAAAACTTCAACGCACAAATATATTCAAAATTCTAAAATTACAAATAGTGACCTTATTTTTCGCTGGAATCGGGGAAGTGAAATGACGCGGGCTGGTGAAAGCCTTCGGGAAGCCAGTCAGCCGATGTGCCTTCTTTCGATGAAAGCGAAAATAAGGTCAC